GGTGGCAGAAAATACTAACCCTAAAGTAACGAGTCTGGACTGGAGGACCGCAAGACGGGGGGCACCATGGCGGGACATGGAACCGTGCACGGCGCCGCCCGGACTGCTGAGAAACCTTGGAGGAGTTTTTTTTTTTTTCCAGTGGGGCTATCCCTAAACCCTAAACCCTAAACCCCTAAACCCCTAAACCCTAAACCCTAAACCCCCCGAATCCTTGCCTGCCTTGTACCCTAAACCTTAAACCCTGGTAGCAGGGTTTCGGGTTTAGGGATATCAACCCGGAACCCTAAACCCTAACCCTGAACCCTAAACCCTAAACCCTAAACCCTAAACCCTGAACCCTAAACAGGGTCAACAAGTCCTGGGTTACACAAGGGATGTCAGGCCCTCCGGGTTGCCTAGTACCCCTGTGAACATCCTGCCAGTAGGGCATGCAGGCTTGAAACTCAATATGGGGGCTTTAGGGTTTAGGGTCTAGGGTTTAGGGTTTAGGGTTTAGGGTTTAGGGTTTAGGGTTTAGGGTTTAGGGTTTAGGGCTTTAAGCACGGGACATCCGCAGTTCAGTGGTCTTGGAAGGCTGCAGCGTCGAGGACTTCGGACTTAGGAACCCTTTGAATGAGGGGGCCTGCAGATGTCGGGGCCATGAGATCCCTAGACCCAAAGCCCTGAGAAGCCAGGGCCTTCAATCCCAAAAACCTAAGCCCCAAAATCTAAACCCCAAATCCTAAACCCTAAACCCTAAACCCTGAACCCTAAACCCTAAACCCTAAACCCTGAACCCTGAACCCTGAACCCTGAACCCGACCACAACAGGGAGCTTGGAGCCCAAGTCCTGTTGACAGAAGGCTTCTAGAAGCCACAACTGCACACCTCTGTGTCCTTCCTAGGTAGGATAAGGGGGACCCTTAAAAGGGAACCCTTCTGAACCCTCTTCTGGCTCTCTTAAACAGGGACCTTATTCAGAGGGTCTATATCCCCAAGGGTCCCCCTAATCCTATGCCCTAGTCCTGTACTCAAGTATGTACCTTTGCCACATCAGGGGCTTGGTTTTGACGCTTTGCAGAAGAAGGGGATCAACCCTTTCAGCCCTTTCAACCCCAAACCCTAAACCCGAAACACTGCACCCTGAACCCTAAACCCGAAACCCCAAACCCCAAACCCCAAACCCTAAACCCTAAACCCTAAACCCTGCCCCCTCAAACCGATGGCTCTCTGAGGCCCTCCGCGGCCACGGCTTCTCGTGCAAGCCAGGCCGGCCTGACGCAGTTGGATTCAGGAATTGGGGTGTAGGGTCTAGGGTTTGGGGTTTAAGGTTTGGGGTTTAGGGTTTGGGGTTTAGGGTTTAGGATTTAGGGTTTGGGGTTTAGGGTTTGGGGGGCTTGGGCTCCGGCGGCTACTTGCAGAGCCTTCACCCCTTCGTCCCAGAGCCTGCAAAAGAGCGAGCCAGGTGGCTACCGTTATCCACTGGAGTACGAGGCTGCCACCAACTTCGCCGAGTGCAGCTTTTCCGTTGAACCCTAAACCCTAAACCCTAAACCCTAAAGCCACGGGGCTTCTAGAGCCGGGAGGGTGCTTCTTGACGACTTTGCCTCCCTACACCCGCCTTGTAGTTCCTCTTAAACTTTAAACCCTAATTCCTAAATCCTCTTCCCCTTAAGCGTCTCTAAACCCTAAACCCTAAACCCTAAACCCTAAACCCTAAACCCTAAACCCTAAACCCTAAACCCTAAACCCATCTCGGCGCCTAGGTATGGTCAAGGAAGAGGGCCGAAGTCGCTGGAAAACCTCGGTGGATGCATGCTCCTTGGGAGAGAGGAGAGTGGTCAGCTAACTTTTGGGGTTTAGGGTTTGGGGTTTGGGGTTTGTGGGGTTTAGGGTCTAGAAGGTTTAAGGGTCTAGGGTTTAAGGGTTTAGAGTCCGTAAGGACCAAATGAGCCTTAAAACGGTTTAGGGTTCGTATTACCCCAGTAGGTCCTAGAGTAGTAAGTATAGGGTTTATGACCCCCAGTTTGAGGGTTCATTTGGTCCCCAAGGATAGGAACGAGCATTTGTGTAACACTGAGATATGTTGATACTTTTGGTTCTGGGTTCCTTTTATAGCTACTTACACCTAAACCCTAAACCCTAAACCCGAGATTGGGGTTGTGTGCGTTCCGGCAGCTTTGCTAGGTAGGCCAGCGGACGCTGGCAGAGTGCGATTCACATTCTCCCTTTTTTGGGGGTTTTTCGAGGCTCTTATTTAGGGCTTAGGGTTCAGCGTTCAGGGTTTAGGGTTTAAGGATGTTTAGGGTTTAGGGTTTAGGGTTTAGGGTTTCGGGTTTGGGGTTTGGGGTTTAGGGTTTAGGGTTTAGGGTTTAGAGCTAACACGGCCCACCCAAAACTCTGAACCCGTCCTTCGCTTTCCTCTTAAAGAGCCCTTGCGAGGCATCTGCCGCCACATGAGCCAAGACAGTGCGCTGAGAACGGGATACGGCGCACTCTGCGTGCCCGGGTACCTCCCATAGGCCCCCGGTTTCCTTAAAGACCCAACGTGGAACCCTCTACAAGGGTGTGGGGTTTAGGGTTTAGGGCTTAGGGCTTAGGGTTTAGGGTTCATAGGCCCTAATAGGGATTCTAGTAGAACAGGGTATAGGACCCACGATTTTAGGGCTCATTTGGTCCCTAAGGTTAGGTTGCTGGGTACCTTAAACGCAGACGCTTCGTGTCAGTTCTAACAGGCCCCCAAAAGGGACGACAATTGAGAACACCCCCCCCGTGTGCTGAAGGTTCAGAGTAATGACCCAAGGCATATGTAACGCCAGTGTCTCCCGCATGGTGGAGGGTTTCGGGGTCGATTGTGGAAAAAGGCAAGCATCAATACGAACCCCAAAGCATTCTAACCCTGAATTCCCAAGCTCGTGAACACTTGCCCCTAATCAATCCCTAGGGTTTAGGGGTTAACAGCACAAGGGTTTAGGGTTTAGATTCGCCCCTGGCGACGGAGTCCAAACCTGATTCAGCTGCTCTGGTAGAAGATCTGTTCCTCTTTGCGATCCCCCTCTGCTGTGAGCGCCAGCAAAAAGTCCCAGGATTCCCAGTAGTCCCTTGACCCTAAACCCTCAACCCTAGTCCCTTGACCCTAAACCCTAATCCTAAACCCTAAACCCTATTTTTCCTAGGCTACTTCTCCATTTTGGGGGCAGGTCAGGGTTCAGGGTTGGGGTTCCCTTCTATAGCCCTTTTAAGACACAGAGGCGCCCCCGCCCAAACCCGGAAGCCTGAACAAGTTTACTTGGCTTCTTGCTGGCTGGCTCTTCGGACTTTAGCCTTTTGTGGTTGCTGAAGAAGCTGCAATAAGGAGCCTAAAAGTTAAACTTTTCGGAGGGGTTCAGAAGTCGGCCAAGTTTCCCTCTGCGGGCATTGTCTAAAGTTTGCTCGGGCCTCGGAAGGTGTTTTGGGTCAGGACTGCAGGTGTTGGGACTACTTTTTGAAGACGCCTAGGCCGATCCTTTCAGATAAAGGTTCAGGTTTTATAGGATTTTATAGGGGTTTACAGGGTTTTATAGGGTTTTATAGGGTTTTACAGGGTTTGAGGTTTTACAGGGTTTAGGGTTTATTACGGTTCCCTAGGGTTATCAGGGTTTATGCGGGTTTATGAGACATCATTAGGGTTCAACAGGGTTTTTGTGCGCTAAGGACTGAGCATCTCTCACCTTTCCCCCTGTGTTACAACCCGCTCTGCTGGCTGAAGCAGAAGCCCAGAGACCCACAGCCTCTAGACCCTACAGACCCTCGCCTCCAACTCCCGAAGCCCCCTCCCCCCCCCCTTTCAAAGAAGCCCTAAACCCTAAATAAACCCTAAACCCCCTGCAGATCAGGCAAGAACCCAGTACAGCATGTTATCAGTGGCCCGGAACCGGTCTTGGCCCAAACCCCTTCTTGTCGGTAGCCCAGTGGTACCCCTTTTTTCCTTTTTGTTTGTTGTTTTGCTTCAAGGCTTCCTAATAAAGTAACCAACCCAAAAAAGGTTTAGGGGTTAGGGTTTAGGGGTGCTACCAAGTCTTCAAAGCCTACAGCGATCGTCGTATGGCCTTCGAAGCCCCCGAACTCCTGTGGAAGATCCAGGTCGTCTCCAGTCATCCCGCTCCGGACGCAGCCAGAGGCGTATAAGCCCCCCAAACATCGATTGGCGTTTTATCCGCCAAAAGCAATGTTCAGGTTTGACATTGAGGGTTTAGGGTTTAGGGTTTAGGGTTTAATTAGGGTTTAGGGTTTAGGGTTTAGGGTTTAGGGTTTAGGGTTTAGGGTTTAACATATCCTGGGAAGCCCACGTGTTTCAGTCAGCGCCTCTTCCCAGGGTTTCCCTCCACCCGACGGTCCCGAGAGGCGAGAGATTAATCACATTAAGTCATTGCTTGACTGGGTGATTGAATGGTTGGAGCTTTGAACTCATAGTAACCATGCTGTGATTTCACGGGTATGTTCTTTTCCATTCAGTCTCGTACCCGTGGAAAAGCTCTATACGATATATTTTGATACCAGTTAGTTTCATTAGTTGGGGGAAATAAGGCGAAATTGCACACTGCAGGGACTTGTTCCATTAAAGACCAACGCAGGGACTCATTCTATGATCATTCGCTACCATGCGAATGCACCAGAAGTGGCCAGGAACAACTCGGAGGAAAGTTATATAGAAGATTTTCAGATGCTTTTCAGGCCCTACAACGCCCCTGCGGGTTCGTGAGGGTTCGGTGGCTCGAAGTTGATTGTGTCCATGTCGAGACATTCGGCTGGTGCGTTGGATCTGGTTGGTAGGTTTCTAGCTTATCTACACTGATTGTTCATGATTGTTCGCAGTTCGGACGGATGACCATCGCATATAGTCATGATGTGTCATGATGCCATTCGTTTCAGATGGATTCAAGCATGTTGAAACTTTTTTAGAAGCCAGCAAGCAGAGACGTGTTCATCGATGACATCTGGCAGCACTGTGGGACAGCTCTTTCCCCTTTGGCGCCCCTATGGATGTGTGCAAAGCCATCTCTGGTGAGACAGTGGCTCTTCTTGATCCAGATGACTTCCAAGGTCAAACAGCCATGGCTCTCAAGCAGAGACTGTCATCACAGATGGGTGTTTCGAGATTCCGACTCATACTCTTGACGGAAGATGGTGTCGCGATCCGGCATGATGAGGTGTTTGCCGCGACCCCAATCAAGCTCCAGCTGCTGTTCTTGGACTTCTTGCCTGCGGATGTTGAAGAGGACCAGCGGATGATGGTAGCATCTCGGAAGAATGATCTGCTGACGCTTGAAGCCTTACTTAAAGGCCCTCGGAATCCCGACATCGCGGATCACGGCGGCCGGACGCCCCTGCACCATGCTGCCTTGGGTGGACATGTGGCAGCTGCGCAGCTATTGCTGGAAGCCGGTGCGGAGAAAGATCCCACGACCAGCACAGGCAAAACGCCGCTGTGGATGGCGGCTCAAGGTGGGCTTCTTGAGGTCGTCCGTTTCTTGGTGGAGGTTGGCGCAGACAAAGATCACGCGGACACTGGTGGCACAACACCTTTCTGGACTGCAGGTGAATTTGGGCACCTGGATGTTTGTGGCTTTCTGCGAGAAGCTGGTTGTTCCCAAGATCCTATCTGATCCAGCGGACAAAATGAACCCTAAACCCTAAACCCTAAACCCTAAACCCTAAACCCTAAACCCTAAACCCTAAACCAGGAACAGTCGGGTTGAAGGCTCAGGACGTAGAGGCGACTCGCCAGGGAGCTTGGGGCGACCTTAAGGGGGTTTGGGATTTGGGGTTTAGGGTTCAGGGTTTAGGGTTTAGGCTTTAGGGTTAGGGTTTAGGATTTAGGGTTTAGGGTGGGGCTGCATGGAGTGAGGTTTTGAGGGTTTCAGGGCTTTAGTGTTCACTAGAACCCTTGAATCCTACAAGCCTACAAACCTATAACCCTTGAGTCTACAACCCTATAACCCTTTAATCTTGCAACCCTTTAATCCTACAACCCTGCAGCCTGTACAACCCTATAATCTTACAATCCGCAACCCTTTTAACCCTACAACCCTTTACCACAAGAGTCTTGCAACCCTGCTATGAACCCATAACCCTGTCACCCTATATCCCTCTAACCCTATTACCCAATAACCCTATAACCCGATGACCCTATATCCCTTTCATCTCATGACCCTGTAACACTATAACAGTACAACCCCATCATTCAACGCTAAACCTTGCACACTTATATCCTACGACCCTATAACCCCATATCCCTGTAATCTTGCAACCCAATAACTCTACAATCTTATCACCCTACAACCCTGTAACCCTGCATCCCTTTAATAATTGTAACCCTAGAACCCGACAATCTTACAACCCTACAACCCCTAAACCCTAAACCCTAAACCCTAAACCCTAAACCCTAAACAACCCTTTCCAGCAGGCTCCCGGCCACACACTGGCAGAGGCGCTGAGCCAGCTGCCGGTGGAGGCCCCCTGGGCCCCGAAACTTTCTGCTTGGAGTGGCGCATGGAGCCATCTGTTTCTTTTGTAAAAAAAACATGAAAAGGGCTTTGATTCTTGATTCCTTGTACTAATAGGTAGTCCTTTTTAACCATGGATTCCACTCTAAACCCTAATCCAGTAAACCTCTAAACCCCTAAACCCTAAACCCTAAACCCCTAAACCCTCAACCCTAAACCCTAAACCCTACTCCCTAAACCCCAAACCCTACCCCACACCCTAAACATCCCTGTCCCTGTAAAGACACGGGAGTGCGGAAGCAGTGAGTCGACAAGCGAGTTCCCAAGTCCACACCTCAGCCGTTGAAATCCATGGTCAGAGATGCAACTTGGTGTAGCTTAGGGGTTTCGGCTTCTAGGGTTTGGGGTTTGGGGTTTGGGGCTTGGGGCTTGGGGTTTGGGGTTTGGGGTTTAGGGTTTAGGGTTGAGAGAGAGAGAGAGAGAGAGAGAGAGAGAGAGAGAGAGCGAGAGAGAGAGAGAGGGAGAGAGAGAGGGAGGGATTGGGGTTTAGGGTTTAGGGTTTAGGGCCTCAAAACCCGAAATCTCAGCGCTAAACTCCCTAAACTCTCCCCAAGTCCTACAACGCAAGTAGAGGGTATGGCTTTTGGGAACCTAAGTCCTAATAACACTACAAATTTAGGGTTTTGGGTTTAGGGTTAAGGGGTACTTGGAGGTTCGGGGCTTAGTATCCCATGATCAGCGTAGCCTTACCCAACCATAAGTCCCTTAAGTACCCTACTAGGGTTATCATTGGGTTAGAAGTACAGTTATAGTTCTAGGATGCCTTATTCCCTTTTTGGGGGTTTAGGTTCCCTTATAAACCCCTTTAAGCAACAAAGGGCACCCTTTTTCATCCTAGGTTACTGGGCAACCTAAAATAGGGTTACTCCGTACCATGACCCTCCAAGTAAGCCCTACACCCAAAACCCCATAAAACACCAAAAAACCCTTAACCCTGCGTGGAGGTTCATGGGTGCTTATGACCCCAATTGTAACTGTACTTTTCAAGCGCCCCAAGCATGAATCGCCAACCCTAAACCCTCATCCCTAAACCCTTACGTAACCCTTAGACCCTAAACCCTTAGACCCTAAGCCCTAAGCCCTAAGCCCTAGGCCCTAAGCCCTAAGCCCTAAGCCCTAAGCCCTAAGCCCTAAACCCTAAGCCGCCACCTTGGCAGGACGTGGTCCGGTCACGGGCCAGCGATGGCAGCTACCTGGCTTGCATCCGGTTCCCACCCAATGGGCCCTTAATTTTTTGGGGGAATCCTCTATACCCCATATTGTCCCCCGAGGGTTTAGGGTTTAGGGTTTAGGGCCTTACAAGGGAACCTTTCTATGCACCTTATGTACCCGTTAAAACCCACGGGCCCATACTTCAGAACCCTTTAAATGACGTAAGGGGCCATATTGAGGGACCATGTAACTTCCCTGCCTTGGAGCCATTTGTCTTTGCTTTGGGCTTGTAGTTTTGAGGGCTTTGGGTTTACTATTCTTGTCATTACGACTTTTAAAGTTATTACGATCTGGGCTTCTAGATTTGGAGCTTAAACTGGCTTGCAGGAGTTAAGGTCAAAACGAAGTGGTTTAGAAGGCTTTAGGGTATTACAGGGTTCAGGTAGTACGGGGTTTAGGCTTTTCGGGTGTAGGGTTTTGCAATGATTCGCGTCTCGGGTCTAGGGCAAGTTTCGTGTTTGGGGGCGCGGGAGGGGGAGGGAGGAAGGTCCCAAGAAGAGAATGTACATGCCCCTTCATGTAACATCGAAGTCTACGCGAACAAGCGAGCGCATGAACTTTCATTACATGATGGGGGGGCATTTGACAAGTGTGGGCAAAACCTTATGAACCCTCAAAAGAGAAGCTCTCAACCCTAAAGCTCTACAAGCAAAGGGGTTGAATCCCTCTGACAGTAGAAGCTCAAAGCTTCCGTGCCCAACACCCAAATCCAAAGCCACAGAGCGCTCGCAAAACCCTTAGGGTTTAGGGTTTAGGGTTTAGGGTTTAGGGTTTCGGGTTTAGGGTTTAGGGTTTAGGGTTTAGGGTGACCCGTGAGATGGGATCCTCAGGCCTCTCCTTTGATGGGCAAGAGGCCAGAGCCGTTCAACGAACAGTTTAAGGTTTGGAAGGGTTTAGGCTTCGAACCCCTAAACCCTAAACCCTACACCCTACACCCTAAACCCTACACCCTAAACCCTAAACCCTAAACCCTAAACCCTAAACCCTAAACCCTAGGCTGGTGCAGAGGATTTTCGGTAGGAAGGTCTTCAGGGCATACAGTGCCTTTCGGCCATAGTGCCAGAAGACTTTCAAACCCGAAGACTTGGACCTTAGGACCCTACTTCCTTGATTCCTTAATTACTACCCTCAGGGTTTAGGGAAAAGGGTACTGTAGACCCTAAACCATAAACTACCGAATGTGGTCATACCCTAAACCTACGGGCCCTTAGTGGGGGATGAGGGAATGCAGTACCTTATAGAATCTCTTAAAGATATATACACATATATATAGGGGGCATAGAGTATATACTTCCTTCCTGCCCTACTAAGAACCAGTAAGTTCTCAGTTCACCCTACTTCATGATGCTGTCGACCTTGGGGGGCGGTAGTTTGTGTTCGGGCCTTCGCCTGCTTGGTTTGGAGTTGTCTCAAGAGAGCGGCTACTGTCCGAAGTCTATGCAGGCTTTAGGCTTTAGGGTTTAGGGTTTAGGGTTTAGGGTTTAGGCTTAGGGCTTAGGGTTTAGCGTTTAGGGTTGAGGGTTTGGGGCTTAGGGCTTGGTGGCTCACAGAAAGGATTTAGTGTTTAGGTGCCGTCTCTGGGTTGTTGGGGGTCCTGGCTTTTAAAGGCCGAGCCATCGTACCAAAGGATCCCAGAAGGGGGGGGGGGAGGGGGGGCCTAATAAGGGAGTCTTCAGGGAGATGAGGGCCAGCGTGTGTTTTTGTTTTGGGGTTGATGGGGCTTAGGGTTTTTCAGTGGGCAGTCGCGGGCAGGCATGAGGGTTTGGGCGACAAGGCCGACCGCTTGTCCGCTTTGCTGCAGTGACGGAATCCCTTAGGACGCAGGGATATCGGACTTACGAGCCCTTGAAGTCTAGTCGCGATGCTGCAAGTCGAACCCAGTTACCGCATGGCACCCGAACAACCCTAACCCTAACAACCCAAGCCAAACCCTAAACCCTAAACCCCAAACTACGGATATTCTCACGCGGAACCCAGTCTAGTCAGCTATCCCCACACCCCAGCCCCTCTCCCCAAATCGCCAACCCCCTGAGCGGGCCAGGATTGCCATAACTCCTTCGTTCTGAGCCCATGCGGACAGCTCTTGCTTTAGGGCTTTGGCTGGTAGTAGTAGAGTAGAGTAGGTGACCTTTAACCTTTGGGGGGGGGGGGGGGGGGGGGTATTCTAAGCCCTATAGAATCCCAAAAGTTGACCTTTAACTCCCCCAGGTTTCTGGACAACTCAGTTGGAGGGGGCTGTTTTGTGGGCACGTGCTTTGCTTTGCTGTGCCTGACGCTGGCCCAAGCATTGCAATTGAGTTTAGGGTTTCGGGTTCAGGGTTTAGGGTTCAGGTTTTAGGGTTTAGGCTTTAGGATTTAGGGTTTAGGGCTTAGACGGAAGTCTGCTGCCGGATGCTGACTGCCATGGATGGTGCCTCAGTGAAGTTCGAGCAATTCAAGCAGAGCGTGAATTCAAAGGGCATTTGCCGAGCCATCTCATTCAACTATCTTCTCCATGTCCTCGGATGCCAGAAGAAGGAGGTTACTCTCAGCATAAGAGCGCCTATGCCCCAGTCAGGGTGGCTGCCACCTGAGGTTCTGGAGCTGTCGCCGGGGGAGGCAGAGCTCTTGTACAGAGCCACCGGCTTTACCAAGGACCTTCGCGAGCGAAGCGAAGCAGCTGATTTCTTGATCGAACCGCGGCCCCAAGGGCCCTTGCCCCATGGCTTCAAGACTGTAATCGTGCGGGACCTCCTCTGCGAGGAGTTCTTGGGCTGGGGTGATGCTGCCGGCAGAGTGGTGAGGATCCTCGAATGGTCTGCAGAGACGGAGAAAAGGGCCGGCTTCGTCTTGTCCTTTCACTACACAAAGAGGGAGGATGGAGATCCCTACGGCGGTCATGCCATTGCTATCGATGTCACGCGGGCTCACGAGTATGGCCTCCATGTGATGGACCCCAACCAAGGGGTGTGGCAATTCAAGAATCCTCAGGATCTCTCCACCTGGCTCCTCAGGGACTTCCAGGACGCCATGCTTTGCGACGAGTTTGGTCGCCTGTTCAAGGAAGTGGACCTGGTGCGGCTGATGATGGTGCAGGTACACGAGCCTTCGGAGCAGTCGCCAGCCTAGCAGGTCAACTTGGTCTGCTTGAGGCAAAACGATAGGGGCAGCAGCCCACAGAGCCCAACGCCTACTCCTTAGATTGCCCTTCATGAGGAAGAAGGTATCGATTTTTGGGGTGGTTCTTATAAGCAAAGATCATATAACCCTAAACCCTAAACCTTCAGCCCTAATACCTAGCTAAGCCCGTAGCAAAAGCCCGTGACCGTTCAGAACCCAGGAGGGCCCCCACCTTGATCTCCTTTTTTAATCTCCAACCTCCCCACTCCCCAAAGAGCACCAAAATACCCTTAATGAGGGAAGGTGCCTTAAGTCATAATAAGGAATATGCCTTAAATCATATGAAGGAATAGACCTTATCACATGAAGGAATATACTGTAAATCATACTGAGGAGTCCTTTCTTAATGATGGTATATTCCTTATGTAAGGGGCCTAAGGGGTATTGGGCCCCTAAACCCTAAGCCTCTAAGCCCTAACCCTAAGCCCTAACCCTAAGCCCTAAGGGCTCTTTGGCGAGGGCTCCCAACAAAACAAAGGAGAAAGCCCAGAAAAGCGAAGCCAGAATCTTAAGACACCCGAGCTTCCGGTGGGTTTAGGGTTTAGGGTTAGGGTTTAGGATTTTGGGTTTAGGGTTTGGGGTTCATGCAGCTCGCATGAAATCACCTGAACTGAGCAACCTCACAGGCAAGCTACCACTGGAGCCCTGAAGCAAAAAAGGGTTTAGGGTTTAGGGTTTAGGGTTTAAAGATAGGCACTTAGGGCTCAAGGTAACAAGAATGGCTCTATCAGAGGCCCGAGGACCTCCACGAACTCAGAAACCTCCAGTCCGCCTTTCCCAAAACCCTTTCAACAATACTATTTGCTTAAGAACTCCCAAAAAAACACTTAAAAAAAAACAAAAAAACAATCCCTATATTTTTCTTACAAGGAAGAATATCTTTTGTGTTTTTTGGGGGGGGGTTCTGAAGCAATTTAAAAAAAATGGAGAACCCCGAAAACCCGACAAACCCCAAAGCCTTCTAAAGGCAAAATTGGTCCTTTCTTTGGGGGTTGCTAACAATAAGGATTGTACTTGTTTTAGGGTTCAGGGTTTAGGGTGTTTTTTTTTTTTTGGGGGGGGGGGGGGGTAGTATTGAGGACCCTTGTTCTGAAACCTAAACCCTATATGAACCCCAAACCCTAAACCCTAAACCCTAAACCCTAAACCCTAAACCCTAAACCCTAAACCCCAATCTCAGAATGCACCCCTGAACGATAAGCTTGTTGCACGTCGCAGGACACCTCCATGACTTGCCGCCGGCTGACCCGCCGCAGCCCGTCTGCCGTCTGGAGCTCTGGAACTTGCAGGGTTTAGGGTTTAGGGTTTAGGGTTTAGGGTTTAGGGTT